TCATGAAAACCAAGTGTGAAACTCCTGGCTGGTTCAGAGGTTTGTCTGACCAGGAACTACATTCAACCTTCTTAGAGCTCTAGAATTCCGATGCTTGCACTGTGATAGGCATTTTCACTTAGTTTTTTGTTCCTACTGGCTGCTCAAGGGCTTGCCAGCAGGCAGAAACTCTTTTATTTTTTAATTTCTTTTTCTTTTTTTAAAATTTATTTATTTATTGTGTATACAGTGTTCTGTCTACACATATGCCTGCATGCCAGAAGAGGGTACCAGATCTCATTATAGATGGTTGTGAGTCATCATGTGGTTGCTGGGAATTGAACTCAGGACCTCTGGAAGAGCAGCCAATCAATGCTCTTAACCGCTGAGCCATCTCTCCAGCCCAGGCAGAAACTCTTAAATGAGTCATATGCTTTTTTTTTTCTTTTTTTTTCCCCAAAGCTTTATCAGGCCTGTGGAAATACTGCCCATGTTGGAACACCAAAATGTTGGGGTTGTTTGTTTGTTTGTTTTAATCTTTTGGCTCTTTTGGGGGGCCCCACCACCCAGCTCCCAAATAAATCACACGTGGAGACATAGAGGCTTATTCTTACTTATAAATGTCTAGCTTTAGTTTAACCTGTTGCTTGCCAGCTTTCCTTAACTTCAAATTATCCCGTCTACCTTTTGCCTCTGGTCTTTTCCCGTTCTCTTACTTCTGTAAATCTTACTCTTACTCCGTGGCTTGCTGGGTGGCTGGCCCCTAGAGTCCTCCTCCTTCTCTGGCTACTTCTTCTCCTCCCAGATTTCTCTTTCTATGTGTTCTCTCTGCCTGCCAGCCCTGCCTATCCTTTCTCCTGCCTTGATATTGATCGTCCAGTTCTTTATTAGACCATCGTGTGTTTTAGACAGGCACAGTAGCACAGCTTCACAGAGTTAAACAAATGCAACATAAACAAAAGTAACACGCCTTAAAATAATATTCTACAACAACTAACAGATATATATATATAATATATATATATATATATATATATATATATTATATATATATACATTAAACTAATGTGTGCTAACAGGATTTAGAAAAGAAAGCAAGGAGGGCTACTATTAGGTAGTGAAGGAGGACAATGCAGGTAAAAGACAGGAGCTGTGAAAGAGGACATAAAGCTAAGTGTTGTTTTAGCTTTAACTCTGTCCTGTGTGTGTGTGTGTGTGTGTGTGTGTGTGTGTGTGTGTGTGTGTGTGTGTGTGTGTGTTGGATAGGTTCATAAAAATGTAATTGACAGTGCAAGTGTAAAACTCTAAGTGAACCTCCCTGGCTTTAGAGTGGAAGTTGTGACTTACAGAAGTTCACTGAGATGGATGGAGTTTGGGACAAGGCAATTGTTTATTTAAATCACTATGTTTATCTGGTTGTGTGATGCTTTCATTTGTGATTTCATTACAATAAAGTGATGTTCATATCAAAAAGAGACAGAAAAGTCTCTTTTAGTTCACGGTAACAGACTCTCAGGCTACCATGTCCACTGCCTTTGTGCCTTTGTGAGGTGGTCTCTCATGGCAGAGAGCATGTATCTGAAGAGGCCTGTTTTACAGCTGGGAAAAGGGTGGAAGAGGTGGAATTCTCAATATCCCTTTCTGAGGGATGGCCCCACCTCTTACAGGTTCTACCTTGGCACCAGGCTGAGGATGAAACATTCAATAGATGGGCTTTTGGGAGACATTCTTTTTTTTTTTTTTATTTTTTTTATTTTTTTTAAAGATTTTATTTATTTATTATGTATACATTGTTCTGCCTGCATGTATGTCTGCAGGCCAGAAGAGGGCACCAGATCTCATTACAGATGGTTGTGAGCCACCATGTGGTTGCTGGGAATTGAACTCAGGACCTCTTAACCTCTGAGCCATCTCTCCAGCCCCCGGGAGACATTCTTGATCTAAGTGATAGTGATATCTCTCTCTCTCTCTCTCTCTCTCTCTCTCTCTCTCTCTCTCTCTCTCTCTCTGTGTGTGTGTGTGTGTGTGTGTGTGTGTGTGTGTGTGTGTTAGCTTTGTCAGTTTATTTCTGAGTCCTCTGTTTTTTTTTTTTTTTTTTTGCGTTGGTCTACCTGTTTTATGCCAGATTTATGCTTAGATTGTATTAAGTAAAGTTGTTGGATCCCAGAAAGACTGGTATGCTATGAAAGTGCCAGCTGTGTTTGATATTAGAAATACTGAAGAAAAAACAAAACAGAACACTAATTCCAAGGATGAAAAGCACCAAAAGTCCATCTGATGGCCTCAGAGGTTGTGTGCTTGGTGTGAGCCTTCCAGAACTATAGTGAAGTTGCATTTAGAAAATTCAAGCTAGGACTGGAGAGATGGTTCAGCAGTTAACAGCACTGGCTACTCTTCCAGAAGTCCTGAGTTCAATTCCCAGCACCCATATAGTGGCTCACAACTGTTGGATGTCCTCTTCTGGTATGCAGATATACATGCAATATAAAACACCCATATACATAAACAAATAAATCTTTTTTGTTTTTGTTTTCAGTTTTGGTTTGGTTTTTTTTTTTTTTTTTTTTTTGGTTTTTCGAGACAGGGTTTCTCTGTGTAGCTTTGCGCCTTTCCTGGGACTCACTTGATAGCCCAGGCTGGCCTCGAACTCACAGAGATCCGCCTGGCTCTGCCTCCCAAGTGCTGGGATTAAAGGCGTGCGCCACCACCGCCCGGCTGGTTTGGTTTTTTTGAGACAGGGTTTCTCTGTGTATTCCTGGCCATCCTGGAACTCAGTCTTGTAGAATATGCTGGCCTGGAACTCAGAGATTTTCCTGCCTTTGCCTCCTGAGCACTGGGATCAAAGCTGTGCACTACCACCACCTGCCCAAGTAGATCTTTTTTTTAAAAAAGAAAAAAGAAAATTAGAGCTATTGCTGAGTATGTTCAGGGCAAAAACCCATCTGATTGACTTCCCTGGCATGGATCTTAAATGTGTTGCCAAGACAAAATGTATTCTATGATCAGAAAATAACAGCCCATAATTGAATCTCATATGGATGTCAAGTCAATTGGTGTTTTTTGCTTCATCTGTTCTGTGTTGGTTTTACTAAAAACAAACAAATAAACAACACCATATACTTGAGACCTCCAGCAACAGCAGGTCTGCCAGATCCAGAAGACAATGGAAATCATAAGCCCAGAGGAGCAAATGACTTCAAAGAAGTAGCTAACAAAGTGACTGCAGACAGCAGCGGGGAAGACAGAAGAGGTTTGCAGGATATGTCCTCTGCAGTCGGTTTTCAGGAGAGAAGTAAGTGCTGAAGACGCCCAGGTTTGAACGGGGAAAACTCCTGGTAGTCCTGGAAAAGTTGCTGGTGATGAGGTGGGTGTTCAAGCTTTGGATATTTTAAACGTTTATTTATTGTTGTCTTATGTGTTTGAGTGTTCGATCTACATGTACCTGTGTATATGCATGCAGTACCAGCAAGGGGGCAGAAGAGGGCGTTAGAACCACAGAAGCTGGAGTTCTGAGGCCTGTGAGAGGCAGTGTGGGTGCTGGGCAGTGAATCCGGACCATTTGCAGAACAGCCAGTGCTCTTAACCACTGAGGTCTCTCTTCAATCCCAGGTGCTGGAGTTGAATGAGCTGTAAAATTAGTCCAAGAATCTGTTTAAAATTCAGATTTTGATATTTATTATTTTTAAAGTTTTATTTTTAAATTATGTATATGTGTGTGTGCCTGTATGTGGGTATGGGCACATGAGTGTGGGTGCTGGAGGAGCAACCACTGAGTCATCTCTCCAGTCCTAAAATTCAGATTTTTATAGTGATAAATAAAAATTCACATTTATGGTTTAAAAAAAACGCTACCAAAAGTGAATATTTAAACTAGACTTATTAAAGGGGAAAGAAATTTTAAATGGTAAAATTATGACTCTCATATAGACATGACATGAATATGGCTCAAAGATTTTTTTTTTTTAATTCACTAATGAATGAGGGAACCAGGAGATACGTTACAATGAGTTCAATGGAATGTCCAAAGGCCAGACAAATATACAAACCATTCAGCAATGCTGCAATAAATTTCCCTCCCAGTCTTCCCTTTTCATCTCCTTTCCCCTCCCTCGTCCACCCGCCCCCACTTCCCTTTGGCAGCGTGGGGATTGTATCTAGGGCATCATATGAGGGAAGCCAAGTAAGTTTTCTACCGGTCAGCTACAGCCCCAGAAAGGAAATCAATTTTCTCTGTTGATACAAAATTGGCCTATTGCACAGTGGGCAGAGGGAAGTCATCAGAAACTCATCACATGGAATCTATTTGAATGTCTGGAAATAACTATTTGTATTTATATCAATTTCCCAAGAATGTATAAGTCTTGAGAATTCTTCAACAGCTCAAAGAAGAGTATAGGTCCCATAGAACCTGATAAATGGGGGTAGAGGGGAGGGAGAGTTTTCTACTTTCAAGTAATCTTTTGGCTGCAGCTTCCCCTTGACAATGACCCTGGTGCTGAAGAGGTGGCTCAGTGGGTTAAGAGTACTTGCTGTGAAAACATGAGGACTTGAATTCAAAGCCCCAGCACCGACCTAAACCGGGTATGGTTTCGATTGTAACTCCAACACTGTGGGAGGGAGGTTGAGACAGGAAAAATCACTGGGGTGGGGCTTGCTGGCCAGAAAAGGGTGTTGGAACTAGAGTTTCATGTGTTTATGAGCTGCCATGTGGGTGCTAAAAATTGAACCAGGATCCCCTGCAAGAGCTGCAAATGCTCATAACCACTGAGGCATCTCTCCAGCCCCTACCTTGAAGTTTTATGTGTTTATGTTTAATATACTTTGTGGGGCATGGTTGGGATAGGGTCTTGATTATGTAGCCCTGGTTGGTCTGGAACCTGATATATAAATCAGAGTAGCCTTGAATTTGTGTCGGAGGCCAGCTCCGACCTGCCAAAGGGTTCTTATGGGGAGGAGTGAGGAATGAAGATGTATTAGGTAGAAATATAGACAGAGACAACAAGAAAGACAGAGACACAGGATAGCTTCAGGAGGGCCCTGGGTCGATACCCAGTCACCCCAAGTTTAATCATGATGGGCTTTTTATACATCAGCAAGGGAAGGAGCAAAAGACTGCTCCCTCTCAAGGTCGAGGTATAAAGTACCAACAAGTGTAGACCTTCAAAGCACCTGGTAACCACGCCTTTGGCCAAATCATCCTATTATGCAGCCCTGCTGGGTAAAGCAAGCTCAGACTTTCTGACCTTGAGTAAGGCCTTACTAGGGAGCCTCTACTGGCCCCCACGAATATGTAGTGAAACTCTCACTTCAGCCTCCCCAGTGCTGGGATTATAGGTATGTATGACCGACCATACCTGTCCTTTAAGGGGCATTAACAATTGTTTCAGAAGGAAAAAGAGTTGTATGTGATTCCTCCCTACTCTCTCTCCTTCCCTTCTCCCCTTCCCTTCTCCCCCCACCCCCTTCTCTCTCTCTCTCTCTCTCTCTCTCTCTCTCTCTCTCTCTCTCTCTCTCTCTCTCTCTCTCTCTGTGTTTTAGACATGTCTCTCTCATATAGCTGAGGATGGCTGAACTCCTGGTCTTCCTGCCTCCATCTCCCAAGAGCTTTTATTACAGGCAGGTGACCTGCCACCCAGCTTCAAGCTATCACCTTCAACTGAAGTCTCTTGCAGTGATGTTTCTTCTGCGGTCTACATGTCATCTGTCCACTCTTCACCCTCCAGCTCCAGCAGATCCAGAAATGGCCTTGTGCCCTTTTCTTGCAAAGTTGGATTCAGAATTCTGTATCTATTTAAACTCCTCCAGATAATCCACTAGGACAAAAGCAGGACAGAATGACAGAGACATCACTCAACTTTCTGACAGACCAAACACCTTAAACTAATAGCTCTCCTCTATAGATAGATTCTCCTCCTAAGAAGTTTGGACTCTTGATGATTCTTCTCTGTCTTCCTTCCTTTCTTCCCTCCTTCCCTCTCTTTTATAAACAAAGTCTCTCTGTAATGAGGCCACGCTGGTATGAAACTCACTACTAGTATAACAACCTTGAACTTCTGGTCTTCAGGTTCCCTCCTCCCAGTGCTGCAAGTATAGGCATGTGTCCCTTCTCCTTATATAGAGCCTTAGATTTTCTTGTCTCTTTAGTCACACATCTTCAGCTCAATCCCTCAGCAACTCCCTCAAGAACAAAAGGAATGCTGACTCAACCCATGATTGTTCAGTGGCTTGTGCCTTTGTGTGGTGTGTGAGAGTATATCACCATCAGTCTAAGAGGACTTTATGAAGTTCCAAGATTATTATAGGCATTTTCCCAAAGTTCTCCATCTTCAAAAGAAGATACCCTTTCTCACTTCTAACGTGTGTGTGTGTGTGTGTGTGTGTGTGTGTGTGTGTGTGTGTGTATGTGTGTGTGTCCCCGTCCAATTAGCTCCTAAGCTTCTTTAGTGGACAGAAAAAAACATTATGAAAGTTTATAGAAACAATTCCTCTTCCCCCTTCTTGAGATAGGGTCTTATGTAACCCAGGCTGGCCTCAAATTCATTGCTGTGCCTGGGTTCCATCCCCGCCACTTCATAAAAAGGGTGTGGTAGTACATGCCTGCCTATAATCCTAGCATTTCAGACATGGAAGCTGGAGGGTCAGGAATTCAAGGCTACATATGGAGAGTTGGAGGTCAGATTGTAGTACACAAGACCCTGCCACAACCCCCCTCCCAAACAAACAAACAAACAAACAAAACAAAAAACCCACCAATCCTAAATGAATGGCTTCATATACAGACAATATTGTGGGTTTTATAAAAGAGGATATAAGGGACTGGAGAGATGACTTAGCAGTGAAGAGCACTGGCTGCTCTTCCAGATGACCCAGGTTTGATTACCAAACCCCACACAGTGGCTCACAACCGTCTATAATCCCAGTTCCAGAGGATGGATCTAACTCCCTCTTCTGGCTTCTTCAGGCATGCTTCAAGGTATATGTGGAGACAAAACACTTTAAGAGAGAGAGAGAGAGAGAGAGAGAGAGAGAGAGAGAGAGAGAGAGAGAGAGAGAGAGAGGTTATAAATTATTAATGGCCATAAGATAACATACAATTCTAATGAGGAACACATTCTTTAAACAGTTTTCTTATTTTCCTGCCCAAATATAAGAAAAATAATGTAGAGAAACGCTACCCAGGGTAAAAGAGAAAAATTACACGTCTTATATTGATTTGTGAAAGTTCAGTAGGCTTGTTCCTTCAAAACCAAAAGCAAAAGACAAAAGCGCCATCTCAGAAAGCACCACTTTTCTGAAGACATTAAGTCTTTGCAATTTTAACCCATCCTCAAACAGAGAACCTGGGGAGGTAACCGCTGTCCTAGAGGCTTCCGTACAAAATGGCGCGGCCCATAAGTACACGCCATGGGGAGGCGGGGTTTACATCCTCCTGGCCGGCTACCGGGCCGGAAGTGGCTACGGCATTTATGCATCCGGGTGGGTGCGGCCAGCCCGCCCCGGGGGTTCCAGCCTGTCAGCGTGGGGTGCCGCAGGTGTTCGGGCGAGGCTGGAGGCCGCCGGTAAGTGAAACTCGGGTTGGCGAAGTCGTCCTCTGGGGTTGTGTGCCGGGCAGAGGGCTTTCCAGTGTGGCTCGAGAGGGTCGGGATGCTGGCGGTACCACTTTGCGCGTGGGCGACTGTTGGGCTCCAGCGGTCCCAAGGCGTTGTTGGTCCTGCCCCTCTCCCCGCCCTGAGGCGCGGCCTCCTGGTCCTTAACTCGGTGTGGGCGGTTGAGCCCTCAAGGTTCGGGGAGGACTCACCCCGCCATTGGTCCCCAAGCCTTCCCGGGCCGCCCCTTTCCATCCGCCCGTCTTCCCGTCAGGAGCATCCACCAACCCTTCCAGGCTTCCTGACCCAGTCAGTTAAAAAGCAGCCCTTACCGCCGATCCTCCCGGCTTAGGGGGACCCGCCCCACCTGGGTACCTGCAGGCGCACACAGTGGCCCGGCCATTTGCAGGGAGAGCCACCGCTGGCTTTGGCTTTTCACATCCACGGGGTAGATCAGACTAGAACTTTAAACCTTATTTATTCAAAATTGACATCTGTTCATTAAAATTCAGACAGCCCAAGCTTTTATAAGCTTTTGATATACGATTGGACGCAAGTTCCCTTATATAACATCTCCTTGGAAACACAAAACTGGTTTTACTTTTATTAACTTTTTTGGGGGTGGTGGGGGTGGTGACAGGGTTTCACTGTGTAGTCCTGGCTAGCCTGGAGCTCATATCCGTTTTCCTCCACCTTCCAAGTGCTGGGATTAAAAACTTGTTCCACCACACCCGTCAAGATTTATTTTTGTTTATGTGTGTGTGTGTGTGTGTGTGTATCTCTGTGAGTGTATGCTGCCAAAAAGAGTGTTGATCTTCTGGAGCTCAAGTTTCAGACGGTTTGAGCTGCCTGATGGGAGTGATAGCCAAATTTGGGTCCTCTGGAAAAGCAGCTAGTGCTACTTTATTTATTTATTTATTTAATTGAAAATAGATTTTTTTTTCCCCCTCACATAATATATCCTGATTACGGTTTCTACTCTCTCTATCCCTCCTAATTCCTCCCCACCTCCCTTCCCATCCTGATCCACTCCCTTTCTGTTGCTCATTGGAAACCAAACAGGCTTCTAAGGGATAATAATAAAATATAACAAAATAAAATATAATAAGATAAAACCATCAAATCAAAGTTGGACAAGTCAAACAGAAGAAAGAGACCAAGAGAAAACACAAGAGTCAGCGACCTATTTGTTTAAATACTCAGGAATCCCATAAAAACACTAAACTGGAAGCCATAATATATTTGCAAAGGACCTGGTGTGCACCCCTGTAGGCCCTGTGCATGCTGCCTCAGTCTCTTGTGAGTTCATATGAGCTTTGATCATGTTGATTTAGAGACCTTGTTTCCCTGGTGTCCTTTCTCCCCTCTGGCTCTTACACTCTTTCCACCTCCTCTTCCTCAGGGTTCCCTGAGCCCTGTGAGGGGATTTGATGGAGATATCCCATTTAGAGCTGAGTGTTCCAAGGTCTCATTCTCTGAATAATGTCTGTATTTGTTCCCATCTACTTCAGGAAGAAGTTTCTTTGATGATGGCTGAGCAAGGCACTGATCTATGAGTATAGCAGAATGCCATTAGGAGTCATTTTATTGCCTTTTTTTTTTTTTTTTTTTTTTTTAAGAACAGTAGGATTTAGTTTTACTCAGGCCCTTGAACTTTCTAGTCTCTGGCTTTTGGTCATCCCAAGCAATGTTAGGTATGGGTTTCATTTCATGGAGTGGACCTTACACCAAATCAGATAATGGTTGGTTACTCCCACAAGCTTTGTGCCACTGTCTTGGGTCTCTATTGCTGTGAAGAGACACCATGACCACACAGCAACTCTCTTTTTTTTTTTTGGTTTTCAAGACAGGGTTTCTCTGTGTAGTTTTGCGCCTTTCCTGGAACTCACTTTGTAGACCAGGCTGGCCTCTAACTCACAGAGATCCGCCTGGCTCTGCCTCCCGAGTGCTGGGATTAAAGGCGTGTGCCACCACCGCCCGGCGACCACGGCAACTCTTACAAAGAAAACATTTAATTGGGTGGCTTACAGTTCAAAGGTTCAGTCCATTATCATCATGGTGGGAACCATGGCAGTGTGTAGGCAGATGTGTTGGCTACATCTTGATATGCAGGCCACGGGAAGTTGACTGTGACACTTGGTGGTATCCTGAGCATAGGAAACCTCAAAGCCCACCCCCACAGTGACACACTTCCTCCAACCAGGCCATACCTATCCCAACAATGCCACACCTCCTAATAGTGCCACTCTATGAGATTATGGGGGCCAGTTACATTCAAACTATCACAGACACCATTGCGCTAGCATATCTTGCAGGCAGAGCACCATGGTAGATCAAAGGGTTTGAGGCTGACTTGGTGTTTACATTTCTCTTTTGGTAGCATGCAGTGTACCTTCCTATACCAAAGACACTAGAATTAGGGGTGAAGGTTCTATGTAGGCACCAGTTCACCATCTCCATGTTCAATGAGTTGTGGAGGTGTTGTCTTCAGCAATGGGGCCTTGCTGTCAGTTTGTGAAGAGCAACCTGTAGTCTTGTCAGCAGCCTCAGTTGTTTGGGGTTTCCCATGGATCCCCTTTGGCCAACAACTCAATGAGATGTAACCCAATTCTAGTACTGGAAGCTTCATTGGGTGATGAGATGTCCAGTTGGGACTCTGTCTCCTCCATTATTTGGCCATTTCATTTAGATTGCCTTCATATATATATATGTTTTAGGAAGTTCCTACTGTATTAGGTTTCCATACTACCCCTCAATGACCCTTAATTTTAGCTGTCTCTCCCCATATTCCCTCCCTCTTCCCACTTGACCCTCCTGTCCAGCCCTCACCCATCCATCTACAACTATTCTATTTCCTTTTCCTAATGAGATCTATCTGTCCCATCTAGTCCCTTTATAGCTAATCTTAGTGGTTCTGTGGATTGTAGCTTGGTTATCATTGGCTTAACAGCTAATATCCACATAAAAGTGGATACAGACATATGCAGCAGCAAGTGCTAACTGATGAATCATCTCTCCATTCCATACAGTTATTAATTATACACTATGGATTTTATTTTCATATGTGTATAGTACATATTTATGTGTATTACAATGTTAGAAGAGATAGCAACTGAAAGGCATTGATTATTATCTAGATTAGAAAGTGTGGTAGAAAAGAAGTTTAAAATAAAGAAGAAATTAAAAATTATTAAATTTGGTCAAGTTTGTTTTCAAAACACTTTAAAAATATTTATTTGCAGTTCATATATGTGTAAATATTTAAACAAAACATTCTTTTTGAATACCTTTCCCCCATTTGTATCTTTACTTTAAAAAAATTGTTTATTGGTTTGTTTTTTGAGACAAGGTCCCACTGTGTAGTCCTGGATGGCCTGGAACTCATAGAGATGCCTCTGCCTCCTGGGGATTAAAGGCCAGAACCACCGTGTGTGTGTGTGTGTGTGTGTGTGTGTGTGTGTGTGTGTGTGTGTTTTGTGCACATGCCTGCAAATACCAGAAGAGAATATTAGATTCCCCTGGAGTTGGATTTACAGGCAGTTGTGAACACCTGATATGGCTGCTGGAAATCGAACTTGGGTCATCTGAAAGAGCAACAGGTGCGCTTAACCACTGAGCATCTCTCCATCCCTAAGGCTGCGGTCACAAAGCTTCACAAACTGGATGGCTTAAAATAATGGAAATTGGCTGGGCATGGTGGTGCATGCCTTTAATCCCAGCACTCGGGAGGCAGAGCCAGGTGGATCTGTGAGTTCCAGGACAGCCTGGTCTACAGAGCGAGATCCAGGACAGGCACCAAAGCTACGCAGAGAAACTCTGTCTTGAAAACCAAAAAAAAAAAAAAAAAAGAAAGAAAGAAAGAAAAAAGGAAATTGGTTCTACAGTTCGGGAGACTAGAGGTCTCTGGAGGACTATTCTGTCTCCTTGGTGGGGAGTTGGGGATAGGAGGATTCTTCCTTGCCTTTTAGCTTCTAGGAATAAAGATCCTTGGCTTTCTTTGGTTTGCTTGACTTTAGTATCCACCTCCATCTTCTCCTGACTTCTTCCCCGTGTATCTGTCACATTTGGGTCTCCCTTTGTCTTGTCTTTTTTTTTCTTTTCTTTTCTGTAGGATACCAGTCACACTGGATTAAGGCTGAGTCTACATCAGTATGACCTCATTTTATCTTTTTCTCTTTTTGAGACAGGGTTTCTCTAGCTTTTGTTGTCCTGGAACTCACTGTGTAGATTAGGCTGTCTTTGAACTCACAGAGATCCACCTGCCTCTGCCTCCCAAGGCATGCACCATCACCTGCCTCAACTTCATCTTGATAATATATGGAAGGCCCTAATTCCTAAGAAGGGCACAGGCATGGGTTCTGAGAGTAGAACTTCAGCATACCTTTTTGGAAGACACAGCTCAACTCATAACCTGTAGCTAGGCTGTTTTATGTGTCTCTCAGTTAATAGGCTTTGGGATGATTTCCACTTTGAGGGTGTTACAGATAGCACTGCTCGGCACTGTCTGTGGATGTGTGTTCATTTCCCTTCCATGTGGTTGTAATGGAGCTGTGAGGCCTGTGGTGTCTTTATGCTTAGCTGTTGAAGACCTGCCGGGCTGTTCTCCAAAGCAGCTGCACCATTTGGCATTCCCACTGACAGTGTGTGAGAGTTTCTCATTTCTCCACAGTATTGCCAGTTCTTCTTAGCTGCCTTTTTGAGAGCCACAGTAGTGGTTTTGAAGCATTATGTCATTGTGGTTTTGATTTGCATTTTCCCTGAGAGCTAATGATGTTAAGGAGCTTTTCATGTGCTATTTGGCCATTGCTCAATTGTCTTTCAGATCTCTATTCATAGTCTTAATCATGTTTTTTAATTAGTTCATTTGTCTTTTATTATTGAGTTGTAAAAGTTTATATTTTAAACACATGCCTTTAACAAATACGTGACTTGCAAGTATTTTCTCCAGTTCTTCAGGCTCTGTTTGGGATGTCTTGGTAGCCAATTTATTTTTTAAAAAGATGAATTCATCTTTGAGTATTTTTAGAAAAACAGTTACTGTAGTTTAGATGTGGCCTCTCCTAAAGGTCCATGTGGTAAAGGATTGGGCCCCAATGTGGCACTATTGGGAGATGGTGTGACCTGTGGAAGATGGGGTCTTATGGGAGTCCTTAGGTCATTTGAGATATGGGAAGATAATCTGGGGACCCCAGCTCCTTTATGTAGTTGGTATTTTTACTCTTTGCACTTTTAGGGGGCCTACCACCCAGTTCCCAAATAAATATATGGAGGATTATTCTTTCTTGTGAATGCCTGGACTTAGCTTGGCTTATTTCTAGCCAGCTTTTCTTAACTTAAATTATCCCATCTATCTTTTGCCTCTGGGCTTTTTATCTTTCTCTATTCTATATACCTTTTTTTACTCTTACTCTGTGGCTTGCTGTGTAGCTGGGTGGATGGCCCCTGATGTCCTTCTCTCCTTCTTTTTCTTGCTCCTCACCAATCCTCTCTTCCCATATTTCTCCTCCTATTTATTCTCTCTGCTTGCCACCTATCCTTTCTCCTGCCTACCCATTGGCCATTCAGCTCTTTATTAAACCTATTGGGTGTTTTAGACAGGCACAGTAACAAACACAACTTCACAGAGTTAAATAAATACAGCATAAAAGAATGCAACACATCTTTGCATCATTAAACAAATGTTCCACAGCATAAACAAATGTCCCTCTATCTACCTGTCTGTCTATCTATCTATTTTTTTTTTCTTTTTTGAGACAGGGTTTCTCTGTGTAGCTTTGCTCCTTCCTGGATCTCGCTCTAGACCAGACTGGCCTCGAACTCACAAAGATCCGCCTGGCTCTGCCTCCCGAGTGCGCCACCACCGCCCAGCTCTATCTATCTATTTATTGAGACAGGATCTTTCTCCCTAGACCAAGCTGGTCTGGAATTTGGTAGGTAACTCAAGCTA